TGATCTCTTCTCTTGTGGCTTGACTGCTATCCTTTCACCAAAGAAAATCGTACTTCCACGGGGAAAGGCTATAAGGGAAGTTCCCCTAACAAAGCTTGCTTGGATTTAGTCTTTACATTGTGGACCTATACCATCTTTCAGTCATATTCCCGCTCCATCGTTTATAACAGATGGCAAAAGATAGATGTATGTGCCTATCTCATGTGGTTTTGAATATATATTAACGTCCTTGCTTGGTAAGTAAGTGCTTTTAAACAATAATTTTATTAGCCTTACTCTAACAAGTAAGCAAGTAAACTACCGCGACTAAGACTAAGAAAGGGGGCTCCCTCCAAATTAAGTTTCACTTAACCTTTCTTCCTATTTCGCTTTTCCTATTCCTTGCTTGGGCTATGCTATGCGCAATCAATCAGTTGCTTGCTTCCTATCAATCTCGATTCCTGCTTAGCTGTCTTGCTTGTTTACTGGTTTCCTTCTTTTGCTTATTCGATACTGGTTCCCTCTCTCCTTCCGATTCCGATTTGAGAACTATAATTGTAAGTATTATTGCTTGCTCCGCGTTGAGCCCATCTGGTCCTTCTTTTCTTCATTCCGGGTATGCTCTATCAGTCTGTCCCGATTCCTCTAGTTATGGAGTTCCGGACTTGCTCTCTTGAGTGCAGGACTCTGGCTCAATGGCCGATTTAGTAAAAAGGCATTCATAAGCTACATCTTCCTATGGCATATACCTGTAAGATCGTTAATTGCTTGGTTCATTCTTTGATGTCAATATGGATTCCCGGTCCAGCTCATCTGAAAAATAGTCAGTCTCCTGGCAGTTCAAGGCTTGCAGTAGCAGTAGTTTTATTCCTTTAGAAGGATTAGTTGTCCCGCCCCTGTACCAGTTACAGCAATCCTGTTTGGTATAAAATTAAAAAGTCTATGGCAGGATATGTCTCCCTTCCTACTAGTACTAGGAAAGGTTAGGAAGCTAGGACTGATTAGACCGTACTCTAGATCGGCCGATTCTCGGCATCTTCACTAGTTGCTTGCCTTAGTGCAATCAGTTCTGGCACAAAGCCTATATCCCTTCGCCAAGCGCAGGCGAGTCAGTACGTACCAATGCCTTCTGCCTTCGGTCAGTCATTAACGCCCTTCTTCTCGAGGTGACTTGAAAGTAAGTGCCTGAAGGCCTTCCCCCTGGTTCGGATTCGGAATCGGAATCGGAAGCGGTGCCTTCTCTTTCTATATATAATACGTCCAACCAGTCCCCACACGCCCGATCACGAACACAGGTCCTGTTTTGTTTTGAAACCGGGCACAAGTCTAGGACCAAACCAGGCTCCATAGCCCGAGGTCCTGACTCAAGGAAAAAGACCATATAAAGGAATCCCCCGTCTATGCCAAAAAAGAAAGAAGGTAAAGCGCCCTCCCCCCACATTCCAAATTATAAAAGCGAAACCAAAAGTAAAAAAAAAGACCAAAGCTCCAAAGCTAAAATGGGATTCTTACATAAAAGCAAAATAAAGCCTAAAATATGTAGTGCAGAAAGCATGAGATCTAGACGAGTGATCATGAGAGCTTAGTTTTTTAGGATCGCTAATTTCCTGCGCTGTAGTTGCCCGTAGTGATATCCTAATTTGGCTACTTCCCCCACTCATCAAGGCAGAACATAAGAAAGGACACTATTGCCAAGAGGGCCCTGAGAAGCGGAAGCGCAGCAATCCGGTAGCAGATCCTTTAGTGAAGGGGCATAGCGTTTACATACAAACCTAACTCAGTAAGGCCAGTCAGTCAGTTTAGTGAGCGTGCCTGTGTTATAATTCCAGTTATTTTTGGCTTTCATCCTGCTAACAGATAGGAAAGATCGTCTCAACCAACGGTTTCAGGGCATGACGCTTGGGGCTGCGTGCTTGAGGGGCCTTTAGAAAGGGCATTAGGCAAGGTAGGACTAATATGACCAAGGCTTCGAAGAGCTTTGACTGCCGGGATGGCTTCTTTCATAAGGGGATCCGGTCTGATTACCCATTACGAAGACCAACCCAATCTAAGTAAGAACGAAAAGGGAACGACAGAAGGACTGACAGTGATTGGTTAGAGTCAGATCCGCGAGAGGTAGTTTAGGATATTGCCCATGCTCGCCTAAGCCAATCGAAGTTCCAAGTACACGCAACTAGCAATGTGAAACCGAAGTCTTTCTACTAAACATCGGGGCTTTGAGTTCTATTCTAGAAGCGATCGCTTTCAAGGGGCATAGGCATAGCTACGTTGGAGAAGAAAAGAAGGTCGTTACCCAAGGGAAGCTAGGTAAAAAGGGCTTGGTCCAGCCTGGCACTAGAATAAAATTAAGTACTAAGAGGTTTAGGTACGTAGCGCAGGTAGCTAGACCTACAGGGTACGAGTTCAATACCATACTTGGAACGAGATAGAGAACGAGCGTAAGACTCTCCGCGAGAAAGGTCAAGGGGCCCAGCTACATGTGAAAGGAAAGTTATAACTAGACTTAAAATCCTAGGGTGCCGAAGGAAGACGCTTCATAAGAAAAATCCACTACCTTCACCCTGACAGGCTAACCTGAGCGTACCAAGGGACTTACCGACCGAACCAGCTCAGCGACTCCAGACAATAAATTTAACCCGCAACCCTCAACAGATGAATCCATGCTTAGCCAGCTCTTCGTTGGTTGGCCTGCCCCCTTTGGTAAATTAATTTCAGGTGCTCCCCTCCTCCCGTAAGTTTGAAAGCACTGTCCGACCTTCACTATTCCAGAAGGAACCATTATAAGGGGAACTCGTGCTTTTTCTGCTTCGTTTAGTTTTTAGACCGCTCGCGGAAAAGCCTCCGATTCCGATTCCGATCCGGCGACCTTGACAGAAAAACGCTCAAAAACAGGCCCGGCCATTGGTCGAGCTGAAGGAAGACTACTTCTACTTATGAGGTGCTCTTCTTTTACGTTTTACGACTATAGGTCGGTTGACGGCAAGGAAGGAAGTGAAGTTTTCCCCTATCCTGTATGATTTATAAAAGTAGGGTCTGTAGGCAGAATAGCTGCCCTAGGCAACAAAACAAAAAAGACTCCGAAATCAGTGATTCATTAGATAGAGAAGTCGTGAAAAGTTCTCCGCGAGAAAGAACGATTGGTGGAAGCCAGTCCATGAAGATTCTCCCTTTTCTTACGTGCAATTCCCCTCTTTCGGTAAGCATCCAATCTCAGCAAATGAACATTTCTCTAAGCTTATCCTTTAGCTTATACGTCGTTTGAAAGCTGCTTCAAGGATCCAACGAATAGCTAAGGTTCGTTGACGATCCCTGGCTACAATCCCAGGGACATCATAAATAGTACCTGCTACTCCTACTTTTTCCACTTAGCATATGGGCTTTATATTCTCTACGGCGTCAACCATAAGTTTTATTACATCGCGTTCAGAGCTGGGAAGTAAACTAGGTTTTGCTATTCCTTCTCGAGCTTCTATATCATACCTTAAAGGAGATTCGGGAAAAGATAGAAGAGGAAGACGTGTTTCCAGAACAAACAAGATACGGGTTGAGAGGGGGAAGTTCGCAAAGTTAGACAAGATTGGAATGGGCATAGGAACATGTATTGATGTACCAGATCGGCTAATGCTCCCAGGTTGATGCAATGTATTCCACCAGTTGACTGAAGACTTTATTATTGGTATATCGATCGGTCCAGCACGGATTGAAATAGGAGCCGGTTCGACAGGAAGCTTTTGAAAACGCAGTGCACCCAGGTAAATCAGAAACGAGATGAATACAGAGGTTAAACGAGCATCCCACACCCAAAAGGTGCCCCACATAGGTCTTCCCCGAAACCCCCCAGTAACTAAGGTAAACAACGTAAAAAAAGCACCAATTTCTGTACCGGTTCCGGAAGAGCGAAGAAAAAGGGGATGTTTTGTTAATAGGAATAAGAAAGTGTTTATAGCCGTAGCGATATAAACAAGAATACTCATCCGAGCCGCAGGAACATGTACATACAGAATACGAGAATTTCCACCTTGTTGAAGATCTAATGGTGCTACCCGAAGACTTAAATGAATAGCCATCGCTGTTAAGAACAACCGAGATCCAATGAGAATTAGCGCATAGCTTCTGGTCTTTGACATCAAAAAATAAGGTTGTAATAACGAAATGGACATCTGATAATTTTGTCCTAGCTAGTGGAACAAGAAAGACATGGATCTATATTCAATACGCAATCAAAGGATTTCTCCCAACGAATAATTCCCCCTGCTTTGTTTTCGCTCCGCTCGTGCGTGGCACTCCTTGCTGGCGGAGCGGCATACCGAAAAAAAGAAAGGTTTTGAAAAAAAAAAGTAGATTCCCTTTTGTATTGTATTTGTAAGAGCCCATCCTTGATCCAAGCCGAGTTTTATCCTCCTAAAAAAGCGCATAAGGGGCCACCCTTTTCCCCTTAGCCCTCCCTCTCACTCCCTAACCTAAGGAATTCAAGAAAGGCCACGTCCAGACAACTACCACAAAAAGAGTAAAACAGGTTTCTTGTAATTTTTTTTTAGTAGGAGTTGCCCCTATTAAGTTAAGGGAAGATAATTTCTTGATTGTTTAGTTGAAAGTCAAGCAATCAATTTCCGAGAAGAGTTTTGCAGGGAAAGCAAAAGAATAAAGAAAAAGGATCGAGACAGGAACCTGACTCTCTTAGCATAGGCTTGAAGCCCTCATGTCCTATAGGAAGTGGAAGTCAGAAATCCTATCCATCTTTTTCGATAAAAAGATCTAAATCTATAATGAAGAAATCATATCGTGCTTCTATTTTAGGATCCTAAAAATCCTCAGACACCGAGACTATGGGGAATCCATATTAACGAAAATATTTAAAAAATTACAAGAAACCACCTTACCATCCATCTCCGGGCTTCAGAATAAAAAATGGAACTCCTTCATCCATACAGGAATTCTATAGAAATAAGAGAACCTATTTTTTTACTTTGCATGCAGTTCCGATTGGAACAAGCATTTTATGATAGAATCGTGCGAAGGGCAAGTCCGGAAACTTAGAAACGAAATATCTGTCATATCTGTAAAAAAGTAAAATAAAACCGGACGCAGAAATCGGACGGGCGGTCTTCTTTCGCTTTTAAAAGTGAATGCCGGTTTCTCCCTTTCTTGTCTAGTGTATTAGATTAGACTCCATTATAGGTCATTCGGAAGGGCTCCGTTTCTATTTTAGGGCATAACGTTGTGGTTGTTCCCTCCCCTTTCAGTCGAGTGACTTCGTACCTCTCCTGACCGAGAAAAATAAGTTCCAGAGGCATCCTCCATTCATATCGATTTGGGTTTATCTGCACCATATTTTGATCTGCCTCTTCTTCGATCCGGAATTCCCAACAAATCCTTGACTCCTCGAATACAATGGGATTTAACACCTGGCAAATCTTTCACTCTACCTCCTCTTATTAACACCATAGAATGTTCCTGCGAATTATGACCTTCGCCCGGAATGTGAGCAAATATCTCATGTCGATTGCTCAATCGTACTTTGGCTATCTTACGTGGAGCTGAATTTGGTTTTTTCGGTGTTCTCGTTGAAAGACGCGGGCGTACTCCTTGCTTCTGGGGACATTGATCCGAAGCTCGAGTACGGTCCGTGCGCCGTTTTTCTTCTCTACCATGACGAATCAATTGATTTAATGTAGTCATCGCTCTTTCCTTTGTCCTTACTCCCTCTTTTTGCCCTATCACTAGTGATTACTCCCGATCCGAAGCACCCCTTTTCCATTCATAGAGAGATCCAATCGTCAAAATAAATAAAAAGGCCATCATAGACCAAGATCCAAACGGATCAATCTTGTTGGGAGGTACTGCCCAAGGAAAAGAAAAGGTTACTTCCGGATCAGGAATAATAAATAAAATTGAAACAAGATAAAATCGTATATCGAAACGACTTCTGGCATCACCGAAAGGATCGAAACCACATTCGTAGGCCGACAATTTTTCTGGATAGGTCGAACTATTGGAAGCAAAGGGAAAAGGAAGACCGAGTGGGATCAAAGAAACTAGCAGACTGATCACTAAATAGATACAAATAGGTGCAAATTCTGACATTACCACAACCCACTTGGTTCTTTCGCTCCTTGCTCGCGGAGCGGCATACCAAAAAAAAATAATAAATAAAGGATACCAATGAAGCCGACCATTAATGACTAGTTCGAACACCAGGAGCGGTCGGATCCCTTATTTGATCAAAGAGACTGCTCACAGGGGTCTTGAACCACCTCTTCCCTCCTGCCCTTCTTGAAGGAATTGGTCTTGGGCCCGGAGTTGTAGCTGGAGGGAAAGACTTGCTTCCGCAAGGGCCTGCCTTCGAGCATCAAGAAGGGCCTCCGCCTCCTCATAAAGACGAAAGGGCTCTCGAAGCTCCGCCCGCTGTCGCGCCCGTTCTTGGTCACGAGACCCATCCAGTTGTCGGGATTGCTCCAACAGGTTCTCGACTTCGTCAAGAACTGTATGGAGGCCAGACAAACTAAATTGGCGCGCCTCACCCTCCTCGGGCGATTCGATCCGGGATTCGCTCAAGTGGCGAATCTCTCTCTCCACTTGATCGAGCTTCGCGACAAGGTCGGAGAGCTCGTCCCTTCCGCCAAAACCGGCGGCAGATTAAGATCCAAGACCGGGCGCTGAGAAGAACCGGCCCCGCTTCCACCCTCTCCTCTTCCGAGTCCGAGTCCGAGTCCGAATCCGATTGCTGGATCTTCCATGTTGTAATAGGTATAGCCTCCCAGGCTAGAAAGAATACAAAGAAGAAGAATTAGGGTACCGGGGGACGACCGACCGCCTCCCCAATCAAAGGGGCAAGTCTAAGAAAAAGGAGGCGGAACGACCTTACCAGTAGCATGGATTGGACTTTGACTACAAAAATCGTCCAATCCAAGCCGAGTAGAATACAGACTAAATAGGTCACGGCAAAAACTATTAAAAGTAAAAAGACAAGTATGGCTATCTTACGTGGAGCTGAATTTGGTTTTTTCGGTGTTCTCGTTGAAAGACGTGGGCCTACTCCTAGCTTCAGTTTGGGAAGATTCAACTCTAGTACGGTCCGAAAAAAAGCGCCGTTCTTCTTTTTTACCATGACGAATCAATTGATTGAATGTAGGCATCGCTTGGGTCGAGTTAAGTGAAGACTGACTACAATTCAATCACGGAACATTTTATATATCTATCTTTTCCGTCTCAATCCAATCCAGTTCCATTCGATCTTAGGCGATCTAAGGTTACCGGCTCTCCGGCCCCATAAAGGTGCACGATTGGAGAGTTCACTGGGCCCGCCGCTTTCTCAATCGATAAACTGTCAAGATTTGAGTAGATGAGATGATAGAAGATCTTCGTTCTTTCTCTATATACGATACGCTATTTCTTTTTTTTTCAATTGCTTGCTTGTTACAGTCCGGTCAATGAACTCAACTCACAGCGGAATCAGAACTTGAATGAGATTGACTCTGTATCTCTTTCAGACGGGGAAGAAGTACGTAGTTAACCGATAGCTTTAGGATTGGGGCTTTCTCCAGTAAGCGAAGTGAGCCATAGCATAGGAAAAGAAGCAAGGCACTGATTGACCTAAGGCCGAGGAAGGAAAGGATTGAAGACGCGAGACCATAGCATAGGGATAGGTTTGAGAGCTTAGTGTGAAAGGAGCGATAGCAGCTCTTTAGATAGGGAGAGGGAATAGTTTTCTTTATCTCCAGTGCGAAAGCAAGTTCAGTTAGCCCTTAGTAGGAAGTAGGAAAGCCTTGAAGGAAAGATTAATTGGATGGATCATTCCAGTCTTAATCTTAAGGCAGGAAAGGAGTCGAAGATATCAAGTCAGAAGGAACCGAAGCCCGTAATAGGAAGGGTGAAATCTTGATCGAAAAACCTCGTCACTTCAGCAGCGGGTAAAAAATAGAAGAGTCAGAAGGGGGATTCCATACTCCCCTAACACTCGTTCTATTCGCCAGGGTTTCCTTGAACACTGAACCTTTCAAGTAAATAAGGGGATGATGCCCTGACTAGAACCTTTCTGAGCAGCTATTGAGCCGGTACTATTAGCTTCTTGCCCTGCCCTTCACCCAGCCAGTAAGAAGTGCTTTTCTTGTCTGTTGAATTAGGTTCGTTCCAGTAGCTTGCCATGGTTCCTTTGTGCATCCTTCTTTTCCCATGTCTTTCTTGGTTGGTAAACCCAACTGGCGATTTACAACAAAGAAGTCTTTCTTCCTTTTTTAAAATTAGAGCAAGAAAAGAAGCGGAAGTAAATTGAGAACTACTTATTATGCAAAATTTTTATTCACTCACACTGTGGGGAAATCCAACGCCCAGTGATTGGGAATTTATTATTGAAAACGAGGCGAGTCTGTCTTTCTCGTCAAGTACCTCTTCGACGAGGTCGGACGCGCAAAGCGCTCCACCTGAGTGTGAAGAGGTATTGCAAAAAATCTGTGATGAATCCACCAAGTGGGTTGGGAGAAGCGGGAGGCAATTACCTCCCGAATGGACGATGCCCGACCTTGTTCGGGCAGTGATTTCCGACGATCGTATTGACAGTCCGGGCTTTCTCACATCCGTGTATACGGATGTAATCTTACATGGCCAAAATGCTTGGTTATGCGAAGATATTTTCTCATTTATCGACCTCATACACTATGTATTTTAGGTCCTAAAATACATAGTGTATGAGGTCACTTAATCTATATAACATTTGAATTTCTCTTCCATTCCACGTTTCCGAAACGGATCCTATCAAATATTTTACATTTTCTATGATCATCTCTATTTTAGGTATTCGGGGAATCCTCCTTAATAGACGAAATATTCCTATTATGTCAATGCCAATTGAATCAATGTTATTAGCTGTGAATTCGAACTTTTTGGTATTTTCCGTTTCTTCGGATGATATGATGGGTCAATCATTTGCTTCATTGGTTTCAACGGTGGCAGCTGCGGAATCAGCTATTGGGTTAGCCATTTTCGTTATAACTTTCCGAGTCCGAGGGACTATTGCTGTAGAATTTATTAATAGCATTCAAGGTTAAACATGACTCCTAGAGAATTACCAAAATACGAAGTTATCTTTTCTCCTGACTCTAACAAGTAAGCAAGTAAACCCTTTCGTTCTCTTCTTTCTTTTTTATTTTGACTTGGTTGGCAGGGTCAGGGCCTTTCTCGCTGGGCGAGCGCATCCGATTGATTCTAAAGTCCTTTCCTAAACCACTTCCCGTTCAGTTGCTGAAAGATAGAGAGAACCTTTCTAAATAAGATTTAGTTCCACGAATATGCAAGCTAAAAAGATGCTATTTGCTGCTATTCCATCTATTTGTGCATTAAGTTCGAAGAAGATCTCAATCTATAATGAAGAAATGATAGTAGCTCGTTGTTTTATAGGCTTCATCATATTAAGTCGGAAGAGTTTAGGTAATACTTTCAAAGTTACTCTCGACGGGAGAATCCAGGCTATTCAGGAAGAATCGCAGCAATTCCCCAATCCTAACGAAGTAGTTCCTCCGGAATCTAATGAACAACAACGATTACTTAGGATCAGTTTGCGAATTTGTGGCACCGTAGTAGAATCATTACCAATGGCACGCTGTGCGCCTAAGTGCGAAAAGACAGTGCAAGCTTTGTTATGCCGAAACCTAAATGTTAAGTCAGCAACACTTCCAAATGCCACTTCTTCCCGTCGCATCCGTCTTCAGGACGATCTAGGCACAAAGTTTCACTTATTAGTTAGGAGGAGATTTTGCCCCCAGTCTCTCTCGAAAGCAGAAAAAATAGAACTAATTCGAGAGAGCTTGGTGGTCTTAAGAATGGTTCGGGTGGGGGGTTCTCTTAAGAATAAATAAGACGAATAGAATATAATGAATGTTCATGCTAACAGAAGAGCGGATCCAATACACAGACAACTTCTTTCTCATAAAGCTGCTTTGCAAGAAAGGAGTTAGTTCCCTCCGGGGGTTCTGATAGCCAATGCTTCCTACGCTCCAGCCCTTAGCCCTGAACTCCTTAGCACAAGCACTAAGTAAGCCCGTGAAGGCCTTCAATATCGCACCTACTAGGACTGAAATTTAGTTTTGAAGAGGACTACTTCTTTTCTGTACGCTAGGGTCGTTCGGGCGGAAAACCGAGTTGCGTACTGGGTGAAGCTTAGTCCTTTGGACCTTTCAATCTCGCAACTTTATTAGATTAGCTAGGGCCGCCCGCACGCTTGAAGGGTTGTTGAAGGTATTGCACTAAGAAAGACTCCTGCCGTTGCTATGCTCAAGGTCAGATTTTATTTTAAAGCCGCTCAAGCAATTTATTTTTTTAAATAAGAGCAAGCAAGACAAAATAAGGCTCGAAAGCTGCGAAGAAAGTCGAGCTGCTCTAATCGAGCTGTGAAATCGGTGTGGTGAGGTATTGGAAGTGTTCAGCGAATATAGATAAAGACACTAAAAAAGCGTGCTATACTGGCAGAGCTTCAGCAAAACTAGGTAGCTTTCGCTAATGAGAGATGGATTGGGGGATTAGATTTGGTCTCCTAATTCATGGAATTTTCTCTTTATTAGTTTATTTTAAAAGCAGCATTCTCCCTGGACTCGATCTTTAATTGAATTATCGATAGAACGTTGATCAAGATTCAGGAAGAGATCGAGGATCACAGCAGGATCCTATCTGATCTTTGTCAACACAGGACTCGAAGCCCCCTGCTCAAACAAAATGGTAATCCTTCGGAATTTTTAATTCCTTTCGGATTTATTATATTAATAATTATAGTGGAGGGGAGAAGACTCATTTTTAATTCTATCTATATAGGGGGGGGAGCCATTGTGAAGCCTAGAGAGGCGGAAGCGGCAAATCGCTTCTACCGAGTTCCCCAACAGCAGCTTAGCTTAGTAGCTTAACTCTTTCTACTTAATGGTGCTACTGGATGCTTCTGATCAATAGAACAGGAAGAGGAGTCAGCCAAAAAGAAAGACCACCAAAAGTCACGACCACCAAGATACGCATAGTGATTCGATCTTTTGATCACCCATTTTTTGAAAACCATTTTGGGGGGCTTCCGCCTTACACACGGAAGATTGGATTGCCTGAATCACGAGTCTTATATACTGTGTTACGATCACCTCATATTGATAAAAAGTCCAGAGAACAATTTGAAATGGAAATAAAGAAAAAAGTTCTGGTCATAAAAACAGAAACGCATGAATTGCGCAAGAAGTTCTTTCGGTTAAAACGCCGTGCGACTCGGAGGACATAAGACTTCTTGGTCAAGCCAAAAAGATTGCCGGCAGAATGCTCCTACCCCACCATGCCTGGCCCTTTACCTTACCTTAAGAAGAAATGGGGGGGTATGAAGCGTGGGAAAGAATGCAAGAAGTTATACTAAAGGTAACCTTAAGGAGTGGCGGCAAAGCTCTTGATTGATCAACGCGAGTGAACTGTGCTTAGACGCTTCGTAAAACCGCACCGATCTACGAGAGGAGCTGATGGATGAGTAGGCTTCCCCTTTCGATTTACGGAATGTGATCTGGGACACGATGGGGGTTTGCGTGCCTCGGTAGGAAAGAGATCACCGGAGTATAGCACAAGATCGCATTTTATTTCTTGCTGCCACGGGGTCGACCTGTAAACAAGGTAAACCCAATGGGAACAAAAAACGGGAGGTTACCACATTGACATTGGGCAGAAGACGATCCAAAAAGCGAAGGCTCACCCAGCTGAAGGCGATCGGCAGTGAGGGATGCTTACCTTATTCTTAGAGAAAGGGGAAAGGGGCAACCTATCTTACTAATAATAAGAAAGGGGGTGGCATCGACTGGGGTTTTACACCCAGTTGGTGTAAGGGATGAATCACCCTTTGCGGTCGGATTGCCAGAAATGGTGCCGACTGCCCATGAGGCGAACAATCGGTAGCGAGATACAGATCCGGAGAGATCTGGGTCTTCTATCTCAACATTTGGTTGTTTAACCTCACTCCTTGTTCGCCTCATGGAGTCCTATTTCTTTGGTTTGGTTAACTAGGTGCCCCCCCACGACTGATGCGACATTCAGTCGTTTAGGCTAGTTTTGGTGTTTATTAAGAGACACCAGTTTGTCAAATGAATCCGGTTGGATTCGCAAATGTCTTATACTTTAGTATTGACATTTGAGGGCGGTGATCTGGAAGCCATCCCAGTGGAGGTTAGTCCAATGACTTACTTCTGCATCAGGTACCCAAACCTGATAAGGAAAGACATGAAAATGAATTCTTCCAGGTATTTCTTTGACAAACTGTTGTCTCTTAAGACCATCAAATGGCACAAGATTTTTGAAAATCTTGGGCTATTAGTATCTATCTATAAAAAGATAAGACTAATAAATAATAGCTACCGACGGTCTGACCAAGGAACTCTGTATAGG